CAAACAAAGAACAGCCATATGATATTCAAAACACTAATAACGCTTGCACATGGCAGGTGGACTGTCCATAGCCATCCCCGGCGAGATTCGCGGCTATGAGATGGCACACAAGAGACATGGCAGGCTGCCATGGAGAGAGCTGTTTGAGCCAAGCATTGCCCTGGCCCGTGAAGGCTTTCCAATTGGGAAAGCCTTGGCTCACGCCATCTTAAAAAGCAAGGACTTCATTCAAGGAAACGCTAACCTTTGGTAAGGAGAAAATGTCACCAACCTAACTGGTGGCACACTGTCTTGCTTTATAACATTCCATAGAGAAGATCCGGTATAGCTTGTGATATAAACATACTCGGACAATGTTGAGGAAAACATCTTTTGGTTGTGATTTTATATTCATTCAAGTCACTTTACATCCATTTGTATGAACCAGCCAAAACAAGAACAACTTCTTTTGGCTCATTAAAAAAAATCCACTTTGAATTTTACTGAACTTTTTCGTACACAACACGTTTTCTTCTCCTCTCATCTTACAGTGAAGTGTTTTGTGATTCACAAAAAAACATTCTCAGGGAAAATGACATTGTAAGATTCCCAAAGCTGGCAGACACATACCAGAGAATAGCAGAAGAGGGTCCTAACGTGTTCTATAATGGCTCAATGGCACAGAGACTCGTGGATGACATCCAGGCATCAGGTTTTGTTCATCTATTATCTATTACAAATGCAAAAAAAAAAAAAAAAGTGCATGTAAAGAACACAACAACAATTAACTCCAATCAACTGAAACCTCTATCAATGATTTAGGTGGGATTATCACCTTGGATGATTTATTGGAGTACCACCCAGTACTGAATGAAAATCCTCTGAAGACGAGTATTGGGGAATACACCATGTATGTCCCAGACGCCCCCTCCAGTGGCCCAGTGTTGGCACTCATTCTCAACATAGTGAACGGTGAGCAGCCTGGCCAAGCTTTTGTGTAGTCATGCGCAAGGGAGGATGTCAGCTTTCCTGAAGTGGGCGGTCGTTCCTCGAATGTTTCCAAACCTGTTTTGGTCACAGAAACCTAAGATATTGCTCAAATCTGTGTTTGAATGATAATCCACTCCCTGTATGAAAACGTGTAATCCAAACAGTAATTGTACGACGTTTTCACCGGTGACGAAGGAAGAACATGTTCCCGTTCATTCATTCGTTGCTGTTATTTGACTTGAGTGAACACTTTCATGACCCATCAATGCTATGGAAGCGTCTGAAATTGGCTTTTACCACATTGATAAAGAAGCCAAGAAAATGTGATTGTTTATTCACTGCAGACTTTTGTCCCCGTGGATATTTTTCAGGGTACAACTTCACAAATGCAAGTGTTTCCACAGCTGAGATGAAGACCCTAACGTATCATCGCATCATAGAGGCTTTCCGTTTTGCCTACGCCAAGAGGAGCAGACTCGGGGACCCGCGTTTTCTCAATATCACCGATGTAAGCCTCCAAATGATCACAACCAGCCAATTGCAGGGCACACCCTGACAAACAACCATTCACGCTCACAATCACACCTA